GAGCAAATCAATATTAGCAATTATTTATCACAATGTTAATATATTTTACATAAAAAGCAATCAATCAGTGGCAAAAGAAAATTTAAGAAAAACAGCAACAGTACTTGAGATTTGAATTACTCCCTATTGTCCTTTCCAAAACAACAAAATATCTGCAAACAATCACTTCTAAGCGATTATCAGAAATGGAGCCTGAATCTGGATATAAAATCAGGAGAATGCAAGACATAGTTAATGAATCTGGTTTCTTTACCATACACTAAACAGAAATATAAATGAAGAAAAAGAAATAAAATATCTCTAAAGAAAAATAATCAACATATCCAAATTCTTATGCACAAATATTTGCAGTGACTAGATTTTTTTTTTGAGCAGGTACTCAAACAATAGAAAGATGCCCTCTTAAATGATGGACAGAGTAAATACTCTCAGTTTAAAAGTGCCTTGCAGTAGAATCAAAGGAAGACTGATTTCACAACAAAAGGAGAAAGGCCCATTACAGCATATGTCATTATATCACTTCCCTCATGATAAAGGGAAATAGTAAATCAGACAAATATTGATTCAATGATTCTTTTTTGTTCTAATTATGGCTTATTCTTATACCCTAAAAGAGGCTTTTAAAGCCTCCCAACTATTTTGAATCACAGTCCAACTGAAGCAAACCTCCTTATATAGAAGAAAATTCTACCGCAAAAAGTGTTTTCCAGCTGTTTTTCTTTATTCTCCTCCCTCTGAATATAAAACCTTTGAGTGCAAGGCTCACATCTGCCTTGTCTCGTTTATATGGTTTAGTTCTCTGTACAAAAATGGTTGATAGACCTCAATGCATGCCTAGAATACAAACACATTCCTTTGCATACAAGGATGACAGCATCAGCTCTTTAGGATAAACACTCCGAATTATCTGCTAACAATAGTGAAGGTATGAAAAGACATGGATATAGATATAGATACAGATACAGATATATAGATATAGATATAATTCACACACAGTTCCTGATCCACCATCCCTCCCACCAATTTGGTGACCCCCTTCTACAGGTTGTACAAGATGGTAAGCTGGCTCTGGGTAAATCTCGAGCCCATGGGTGAAAGTAAAGCTAAATGACATGGCTGAATGGAGACCAACCATGTTCCCATTAATGCTGCATTTTCTCTAACTCATCTGCCCCACCCACCCCCAACACACACACCAAGGGTTGGGAAATACCAGTTGTCTTTTGATGAACATTCTTAAGCAGGAGGCCAGGAGCCCTTTCTGGTATCACTGCCACATTCATATGACTAACACTAATAGGCAGAACTTTTATCTCAGACCCAGAACCACAGAAAACTCTGCTGTCAGGTTCAACAACCCTCTGGATTAGGAAACAGCCTTTAGAGTGCTGTTATCAAATTTTTGGCTCCAATAGCCACTAAGAAAAATTTAAAGTTCTGTTTTGCACATATTTTAAATTTACATTTCTTCATCATAATTTTAATTACTTGAAAAGGCTATAATTCTGGTATATTGGAATTACTACAGTTTTTAATTAAAACATATCACTTATTTAAATGTAGCTAATGAAATCTAAATACCACACAAATTTGAAAACCAACTTCCTCCATCAAAAAGGTATATGAGCAAACTTTTAAAAAAAAAAATTTTTTTAATGCTTATTTTTGAGAGAGACAGAGCACAAGCTGGGGAGGGGCAGAGAGAGAGGGAGATACAGAATCTGAAGCAGGCTCCAGGCTCCAAGCTGTCAGCACGAGCCCGATATGGGGCTCGAACTCACGAACTGCAAGATCATGACCTGAGCTGAAGTCAGATGTTTAACCCCACTGAGCTACTCAGGCACTCCTATGAGCAAACTCTTAAGAGTAAAAGATGCTACACTGTTCTCTTTTCTCCTTGAACTTGTATTTCCATTCTGCTTCCCCAACTTAATTTTATCTTAATATGTTTTAATTATTTTTCTAATGTTTATTTATTCTGAGAGGCAGCACACATGAACAGGGCAGGGGCAGAGAGAGAGAGAGAAAGAGAGAGGGAAACCCAAACTCAAGCAGGCTCTGCACTGTCAGAGCAGAGCCCAATGCAGGGCTCAATCCAATGAACCCTAAGATCATGACCTGAGCCGAAATCAAGAGCTGGCTAATCAACCACCCAAGCTACCTAGGCGCCTCTATATGTTTTAACTCTTGAGAGGCTTTTTATTAATCTCCCTACTATATTTCTGTATATAAAGTGTATATAAAGTGATTTTTTAAAAAAATCTCCTGTGCTCATAAGGCTTAAAAGTGTTTAATTTTCTTCTGGCTTGAGGTATCATTATGGATGCACCTAACTGATCCAAACACTATTAATTATTTTATATAAGAAGGTTAATGTTGTTAACCCAAAAAGTATAATTTTATCAGCAATGCATTTCTAAAGAAATGGATAAGCCTTGGGGCACCTGGGTGGCTCAGTCGGTTAAGCATCCAACTTCGGCTCAGGTCATGATCTCACAGTTTGTGGGTTCAAGCCCCATGTTGGGCTCTGTGCTGACAGCTAGCTCAGAGCCTGGAGCCTGCTTCAGATTCTGTATCTCCCTTTCTCTCTGACCCTCCCCTGCTCATACTCTCTCTCTCTCTCTCTCTCAGAAATAAATAAAACATTTTTAAAAAGTAAAAAAAAGAAATGGATAAACCTTGTTTATTTCTATCCTCAATTACTTCATATAGCTATGGATGAGCATCCCTTTTTGCTATAATAAGGTGGGATTTAGCATCATTTCTATACTTTTTCACTCTTACAGATGTAAGCAGTAGGAAAACTTAGTTAAATAAGAGAATGAAGGAGACTTAGCATCGAAACCTCTTTTTTGTCTATCAACTAGAAGAGGTCCTCCTTCAATGTTGCCGAAAGCCAAGAAGTAAAAACTAACCTGCAAAAAGATGTGTGGTCTGGTTGTTATAGTCATCCTTTTTACCAACACAGACACTGGTATTTTCATAGTCCTTTGTTGGCAGGAAGAGATTTCTGTACCCAGCACAACACACTACGGTAAGATTCAGAATGGGATGAGTAATGGCGATGCTTTCCTTGGTCAAGGGGAGGAAGAGGGACTATAATAGGCTAGAAAAGGAAACGTGGCAAAATCAGTTTTTAAAAAGGATACCTACAGATGATGAGGACCAGGAAATCATCTCCCTTAAACTATCTATGCCTTCTTATCTCCAGGAGAGTCTTCCTAGTCTCCTAGGTGCATAGATACCCCAGCCAGAACATGCCTCCCCGGGCAAGAGCATTGCTGCCAGCCATTCTGCCACTTCGCTTTATAGCACAAAAATACATGTGGTTTGATAAACACATGAATTTCCTTACAATATATCAGCTTGCAGCAGACACTATAGGAGAAGCAATAAATTTTTAAAAAACACGGAATCATAATTTTTGTCCATTCTACTTGTAGAGAAGGAAAATACCTAATAAGTCATTATGTCCTGGGGAGCCTGGGTGGCTCAGTCGGTTAAGCATCCGACTTCCGTTCAGGTCATGATCTCATGGTTCATGGGTTCAAGCCCTGCGTTGGGCTCTGAGATGACAGCTAGCTCAGAGCCTGGAGCCTGTCTTCGGATTCTGTGACTCCCTCTCTCTCTGACCCTCCCCTGCTCACGCTGTCTCTGTCTCTCTCAAAAATAAATAAAACATTAAAAAAAAAAAAGTCATTATGTCCTGACAGTTTAGAACCATACTCAATAAAAGACTATAAGCTCAATATTTTTAATAATGTCCAAAAAAATCTGAAAACCAAAATGTCTAATAATAAGAAAATTACCAGGGTGCCTGGGAGGCTCAGTTGGTTAAGCATCTGACTCTTGATTTTGGCTCAGGTCATGATCTCACAGTTTGTGAGATCGAGCCCCACGTTGGGCTCTGTGCTAATAGACAGAGCCTGCTTGGGATTCTCTCTCTCCCTCTCTTTCTGCCCCTCCCCCTGCTTGTGCACTCTCTCTTGCTCTCCCAAAATAAAGAAACTTAAAAAAGGAACTTATTAAATAAATGTTAGAGCAGCCATATAACAGAAGAATATATAATATTTTAATCTGAAGAACATATATTGACATTAGAAAATGTTCATATGATATGGGCTGAAGAAACAAGCAGGAATATGTATATGTAATGTATATGTAGAAAAAATCTGTTAAGAAAATTTATTTAACTGTTTTTAAATTTTTTTTTAATGTTTTTATTTATTTATAGAAGAGAGAGAGACAGCGTGAGCAGGGGAGGGTCAGAGAGAGAGGGAGTCACAGACTGAAACAGGCTCCAAGCTCTGAGCTGGCAGTCAGCACAGAGCCCGACGCGGAGCTCGAACCCACGAACCGCGAGATCATGACCTAAGTGAAAGTCGGACGCTTAACCGACTAAGCCACCCAGGCGCCCCTATTTAACTGTTTTTAGTGATTATCCTTAGGTGGTGTAATTATGGGCAACTTTCTTATTTGTTCTTTCCAAATCTGTCACACAGGGCATTTCTCTCATGATAAAGGGGTTGGGGAATGGTGAGGAAAGTGGGAAAACAGGCTTATCATCTCAGGGCTGTTGTAGGTGGCCAGAGTTTGTGACATGGTGTCCAGCCAAAGGGCTGGTGGAGTTAGATCCACCCCACAGAGTGTAGGCATGCTTCTCTCCAGCGGGGGCGCCATTTCCCAATCTGCAGTGGAAGACTTTGTCCACTAACTACATTCTCATCGAGGTTTTTGTCACTTCTCTCCTTGACCAATTTTATCCTTTCACCTCACTTCCTCAGCTGTTTTCTTCAGATTATTGACTTCACTCATTCCACAAATGCCTAGAAATCACTACAATCAGGTCCCCATCATGTGAACTTTCCCATTTCATGGATGGAAAAAAGCCATTGGCCCACAAGTAAAATGCTATAAGCCAGAGAGATTATCTGGGGCTTCAGGGAAACCCAGTAGGTGATTTTTACTTCCACTAAGTTATATAACTCCAGTCTCCTTACCTCAGCAAATGTGGGGGGATCTTGACAATGGTATCCACACCGCCCAGGGTTTCTGCAGAAGGAAAATAACAAAGTTAAAAATAAATGTGTAGACTGAGAATCTGCCAATAAATTTCACTGTTAGTTTCCTTTTTCCCTAGAAATTCCTGTAATTATAAATTGGTCAGTTCTCAATTATCTGCGTGCAAGTCATCCATAGTTCAAAATCCTTCTCCCTTGATAGCTCTAAAGACTTCCTTAAAGAAGTTAAGAATTAGGATGTATTTCCCTATAGAGATATAGAATAAACAGTTAGATTTTTAACCTGAACTGAAATGCCAATTTAACCTATTGGCTAACTGGCTAAAGTGCTATATTCTTGTAATAAAAAACAGAGAAAGGACAAGGAAAACAAAAGTAGAAACAAACTCTTGGGATTACATCAAACTAAAAAGCTCTTGCAGAGCAAAGGAAACCAGCAACAGAAACAAAAGGCAGCCTACTGAATGAGACAAAATATTTGCAAATCATATATCTCATAAGGGGTTAATATCCAAAATATATAAAGAATTCATACAACTCAACACCAGGAAATACACAAATAATCCAATTTTAAAATGGGCAGAGAATCTAGGTAGGCATTTTTCCACAGAAGACATACCAATGGCTGGCAGATACATGAAAAGATGCTCAACACCATGCATCATCAGGGAAATGCAAATCAAAACTGCTATGAGATATTACCCCACACCTGTCAGACAGGCTAGAATCAGAAAGATAAGAAATAAGTGTTGGCGAGGCTGTGAGAAAAGAGCAGCCTCGTGCACTATTGGTGGATATGTAAACTGGTGCAGCCACTGTGAAAAACAGTGTGGAGCTTCCTAAAAAAATTAAGAATAGAACTACCATTCACTTCACTAATTCCACTATTACTGGGTCCTTTACTCAAAGAAAACAAAAACACTAATTCTAAAAGATATATGTACACTATGTTTATTGCAGCATTATTTACAATAGCCAAGATATAAAAGCTACCTAAGTGCCCCTCAGTAAGTGAATGGGTAAAGAAGATGTGGTATAATATATACAATAGAATATTACTCAGCCATAAAAAAGAATGAAATCTTGTCAGTTGTGACAACATAGATGGACCTAGAGGGTATTATGCAGTGAAATAAATCAGACAAATACAAATACCACATGATTTCACTTCTATGTGGAATCCAAAAAACAGATAAACAAAAAATAAAAATACACTCATGAATATGTACTGAGAATAAACTAGTGATTACCAGAAGGCAGAGGTGTGGGTGATGGGTGAAGTAGGTGAAGGGGATTAAGAGATTCAAACTTCTAGTTACAAACTAAGTAAGTGACACAGATGAAAAGTATAGCATAGGGAATACCGTCAATAATATTTTAATAATTTTGCATGATGTCATGGTAACTACACTTATTGTGAACGTTTTGAAATGTATATAATGGTCAAAACAGTATGTTGTACACCTGAAATTAATATAATATTGTAGGTCAACTAAACTTCAATTATAAAAATAATAGGGGCAGCTGGGTGGCTCAGTCAGTTAAGTGTTTGACTTTAGCTCAGGTCATGATTTTGTGGTTCCTGAGTTCCAGCCATGCACTGGGCTCTACACTGACAGTGTGGAGCCTGCTTAGGATTCTCTCTCTTCCACTCTCTGCCCTTCCTTAACTTTCTCTCTCTCAAACTAAATAAACTTTAAAAAATAATAATTATACATATAGAAAGGAAAGCTCTTTCCTTGAAAATACTGTTTCAATACACTTAAATAATAATGTATACTTGTGAGAGACTGAAGTTTACAAATCATTTTATGCAATACCTCATTATTCTCATGCACACTTATGATATATTCAACTTTTTAAAATCACCCTGTAACTAGGGATACTGAAAGGAGGCTCACTCTTAAATCTCATTAATTCAAGCTGATGCTCAATACTTTACCACTGTTGTAGATTATATACATTACTTCTGCTTCTAATTGTAGAAAAAAGATGACAGTATTCTCTATCTCTCTAAAAACTGTTCTTTTTTAAAGCTTATTTATTTTGACAGAGACATTGTGAGTAGGGGAGGGGTAGAGAGAGGGAGAGAGAGAATACCAAGCAAGCTCCGCACTGTCAGTGCACAGCCTGATGCGGGGCTCGAACCCACAAAACCACAAGATCATGACCTGAGCGAAAACCGAGAGTTGGGTGCTCAACCGACTGAGCCACCCAGGCACCCTCCCTAAAACTGTTCTATTTCAATAGCTCTAACAATTCTGCACACAATTCTGATGTATGTGGCAGTGGTGGGGGGGAGGGGAGAGACTTCCCCACATGAACAAGCAATTCTCTCACACCAGCTAACTGTCGTACAATTTAACTCAGTTCTGACACTACCTACCTGGAGAGAGTATCAGATCCCACGGGTTAAGGGCTCAGTCCTCCAGGACTGCACCTCCTCTTCAGACACCAAGCCCAAATCCAGGTTGTCACCTGGGCTTCCGACTGACCAGTGTAGGTTGAAGGGTCTAATGACCCCTCCTGGGGTTCAGTTAATTTGCTAGGACAGCTCACAGAACTCGAGAGAAACAGTTTACTCACTACATTACTGGATCATTATAAAAGGACATAACACAGGAATGGCCAGATGGAGGAAGTATCATGCCAAGGTGTGGTAAAAAGGTGTGGAGCTCCCATGCTCTCTCAGGGGGCCTTTCTCCCCAAATTTCCATGTGTTTACCAACCCAGAAGCTCTCCAAACTGTGTTCTTTCTCCTTCCCTCTCTCTCTGTCTCTCTCTTTTTAATGGAGGCTTTGTCACACAGGAATGATTAATTAAATCATTGGCCACTGGAGACTGAATTCAATCTCCAGCCCTTCTCCTTTCTCTGGAGGTGTGGGGTGGGATTGAAAATTCCAACTCTGGGGCACCTGGGTGGCTCAGTCTGTTAAGCATCCGACTTGGGCTCAGGTCATGATCTCACAGTTCGTGAGTTCGAGCCTCGCGTTGGGCTCTGTGCTGAAAGTTTGGAGCCTGGAGCCTGCTTCAGATTCGGTGTCTCCCTCTCTCTCTACCCCTTGCCCACTCACACTCTGTCTCTGTCTCTCTCTCTCAAAAATAAACTTTAAAAAAAAAAAAAAAGAAAATTCTAACTCTCTAAACACAGGGCCAATTCTCCTAGCAACCGACCCAGTGACTTAGGTCACTTCATTAACATGACAAAAAACAACTTCTGGTTCTCTTCACCTAGAAAATTCACAGATTTTAGGGGCTCTGTGCCAGAAGCAAGGACAAAGACCAAATATATATTTCTTATTAGAAATCCCAATATCACGACCTCCAATTTGTTCCCAGTTTTTCAGCTCAAACTGTGTTGACTCCTTTCTTCATTGCTTGGAGTCAACAAGCCCTGTCAACATGAACTGTTTTCATTGGAGAAAGAGAGACATTTCTCCCTGCCTGTTAAAAGACCAGAAGGAAAAATGGACGCTAGATATATCCTGGAGACTCAGGAGTAAAAGCGGTCCAAAACACGATGATACGATCTGAGTCTGCTGTGGCCAATGGGACAAACAGTAGGTGTAAGCAAGAGAATCCGCAAAGCAGAAAGACAGGATCAGGAGGGTCAGTTACTCTGTGGCCAGCAAGGCCAAGGGATGAACTGGAAGAACTGACCTCAGCTGGTGAGATGAGACAGGATAATGGAAAAGTGAAGCCCTGAGATGCAGGTGCAGGGAGACTATCGAAGACCACTGGCGTCAGCATGGCCTCACATTAGCAGGGCAGGGGCCAGTGCCCGGGACAATTTGATGCTGCTCCTCAAGAGGATGGATTAACACTAGGGGCGCCTGGGTGGCTCCGTTGGTTAAGCGTCCAACTTCAGCTCAGGTCATGATCTCACGGTTCGTGAGTTCGAGCCCCGCGTCGGGGTCTGTGCTGACAGCTCAGACCCTGGAGCCTGTTTCAGATTCTGTATCTCCCTCTCTCTCTGACCCTCCCCTGCTCATGCTATCTCTCTCTCTCTCTCAGAAACAAATAAAACAGTAAAAAATTAAAAAAAAAAAAAAAAGAGGATGGATTGACACTAAACAACCAAATCATCGTAGTTTTTCTCATCAGAGAGAGGGGTTTCTATTCAACTCACGATGTTCAATAGTGCCCAGCCCTACAATTGCTAACAAGGAGCCAGAAGAAAGAAAAAAGAGGAAAAGCAGAGCGGCCATAACGAGCCCATCCTGTACAAGTGGAGATGCTGAGTAGGCACCTGCATCGGGGTCCGGCTGTCAGAGCACAGGTGCAGACTCATGAGGCAAACGCAGCATCACTTTCTCAGAAACTGAACAGAAGCCTTGGGTCTGGATGTGTCGTACTCCAGTAGGTTTGGGAGTAAGAGAAGTTGGGAAGCGGGACTAACTCCTGAGAAATGCGAACATTGAGGCTAAGGGGAAGTGCGGGAGCTGGCAAAGGACACAGAGCCACTTAAGAGGCATGATCAAAATGGGCAGGGTGTGGTCCTGGAGGCCAGGGTACCATGCGAGCGGGTATGTGTTGTGTGGCTGGGAGCAGCTTGCCGGACTGAGGTTTGCATACGTCATTCTTCTCCCACAGTTGGCGGAACGATGGAGGAGGAAGTCAGATGGCCGTGAGCCGCAGGGTGAGTAGCAAGTGGGGAGGTGGACACAATCACTACAGACACCTCTTAAGAAGCATGTGGCTGTTGGGGCGCCTGGGTGGCTTAGTCGGTTAAGCGTCCGACTTTCGCTTGGGTCGTGATCTCGCGGTTCGTGGGTTCAAGCCCCGCGTCGGGCTCTGTGCTGACTGCCAGCTCGGAACCTGGAGGCTGTTTCAGAGTCTGTCACTCCCTCTCTCTCTGACCCTCCCCCGCTCATGCTGTCTCTCTCTCTCCTAGAAATAAATAAACATTAAAAAAAAATTAAAAAAAAAAAAAAAAAAAGAAGCATGTGGCTGTGAATATAACAGAAACTGTGGCTGGAAGCAAAAGCAGGTGGGAAGATGGAGGGAACGGATGGCGGTGAGTTATTCTTCCCCTACCTGGCATCCCAGCCTCTAGTTTTCTTTCCCCTCTCCTCCATTTTCCAAATCCATACTACACAAGTCCCTGGATATATGTAAAACACTAAAAATTTCTAAAATGAAGACATAACCCCTTCCAGTTCTAACGTTCTTTTTTTTAAAAATTTTTAAATGTTTTTTATTTATTTCTGAGATAGAGAGAGTGTGTGAGCAGGGGAGGGTCAGAGAGAGAGGGAGACACAGAATCTGAAACAGGCTCCAGGCTCTGAGCTGGTTGTTAACACAGAGCCCGACTCAGGGTTCAAACCCACGAACTGTGAGATCATGACCTGAGCCGAAGTCGGACGCTTAACTGACTAAGCCACCCAGGCGCCCCTCTAATGTTCTGATATTTTATGTCATCCAGCCATTCTCATCTCAATTCTTCTGGGATTGCCAGTTCTTGAAGGAGAATGCTATCCTCTCCGCTCTCTATAATCTGACCCCTTCCCTTATTCTGTTCTGTCCCCTAGTCAGACCATTTTCTCACTGACAAGAAAAATATATAATAACCTAGATTCCTCAAAATAGAGAAAAGATACATACATATATTCCTTATCTATGGTTACATAACCATTAAGAAAACTGATTTTCAGGGGCACCTGCCTCAGTCAGGAGAGCATGTAACTCTTGATCTTGGGGTTGTAAGTTCAAGCCCCACACTGGGTGTAGAGATTACTTTAAAAAATAAAATCTTTAGAAAAAAAAAAGAAAACTGATTTTCAGATAAGTATTAATAACAAAGGAGAAGGAAATGCTAAAGTTAAAAAACAAAAACAAATGACAGTCCGCCATATGTAGTATAACCCTTTGCAGAAGGGAAATACTCCAAAATGTGATTGAGGTTCTTTTGGGTGTTGGGATTACAGGCAATGCTAGTTTTTATTTTATGCTGTCCAAATATCTCTCCATATTCTAAAATGAGTATACATAAGTCTTATAACTTAAAAAAAGGAAAGTTTTATAACAGAAAAAAGATGGATATCACTTAAAACCCAAACAAGTCATTAACGGACTGATTTGTTTATTGACCATCTGCTTCTCCTACTGCAGGACCAGAAGCCACAAAGAAATGTCAGCCACAGTCCCTATGTTCAAGAGGCACATGTCTATACTATTGACCTTCGTTGTTTTGGTTGACCGGTATCCATTCCTTTGTCTTCTGAAACAGCATCCTACCTTTGTTTTGAGGAAACCATCCTTTTCTGACTCGGGATTTCATTAAGCCTTGTAGCCTCGGCCAGTTAGCCCATTCTATTCCTTAGCTAGAGGGCTGGTTCACATACACACATGACTCATCAGGACCAAGAGAGAACAAGCGAAACCAAAAACTGGGCAGGAGTGACTAGAATAGCTCCAGTCTCTTGAGACGATCTGATGATGGGCCAAATGGAAGATGACCTCTTTCCCCCGTCATGGCCTAGCGATGCCCATGGCCTCTCTATCTCCTGTGATGGTTTCCGTGGGAGATGACCCCTCTCTCCTGTGACAGGCTAAATGTCATGGCGACCCCTCTCCCCTATGAAGGAGTGGGAGATAACTCCTTTCTCTTGAAGTGGACTAAGTGTGGAAATGACTCTTCTCTCCCACGATGGCTTTAGTGGGAGGTGATCCCCCTCCCCTCAGATGCTCTAAGTGTGCTGACGCTTCTTTCTCATAGATGATCTCAGTGGGATCATTCACAAGCCCAAAGCTGTAGACACACTCAGAGCATGTTAGTCACCCCCAAAAAGAGCAGAGTGAGGTCCTTGAACAGCGTATAATTCCTGAACCAAACTCAACCCCACAGCTAGCCTCACAAGGGATATTTAGTTAATACAGTGAATAAATCATTTTGTTTAAATCAATGTGATTGAGGGTTTTGTTTTGCTTTGTTCATTTGCTTTTGGTCTCCTGAAGACAACATTTCTCAATTATCTTGCCCCTGAAGGGTAGCTACAGCCAATTATAATCCAAAGTAGCAGGTGCTCTAAGACAGCCATGAGGGCAGCGTTTTGAACCCAGGGGAGAAACTGATTCAACTAAAGAGCTCAGGAAATGCTTTCTATGTCAGTTGGGCCTTAGGAGTCTGGAAAGGAAGTTCTCAGCAGGAGTAGAGGGAGAGAAGTGTGCAGGGCACATTGTGCTCAAGGACGTGTTTGTAGTTTATGGAACCCTTGGTAGGGGGAGCAGTAAGAAAGAACAGCTGGGGGTAGATTTTGAAGAGTGTTCTAAGGAATTTTCACTTTAATCTAGAAAGAAATTATGGAGGTGGAGGAGGAGAAAGCACATACAGTAAAAAAAAAAAAAAAAAAAAAAAAAAAATGGGGGGACCAGTGGAAAATCGACAAAAAAAAAAAAAAAAAGGAAAAAAAAAAAAAAAATTGGGTGGACCAGTGGAACATCGACTGGAGTGAGAGTGAACAGGAAACCATATAGCCTTTGTTCATGCTNAAAAAAAAAAAAAAAAAAAAAAAAAAATTGGGTGGACCAGTGGAACATCGACTGGAGTGAGAGTGAACAGGAAACCATATAGCCTTTGTTCATGCTGCCTTCTCCCTCTGACATGCCCTTCTAACACACTCCTTATAGGGAGGAAGCTTTTTACCCATCCTTACATCCCCACTGCTCAATTCAGGGAGGCCTTCATAACTGTTTGCTAAATAAATAAGTGAAGAAAAGAAGGAATCCACAGCTTACCTATTCTTCAAGTCAAATCTACTTTATTTTTTTAATCAATTTTTTAACATTTTTATTTATTTTTGAGAGAGAGAGAGAGAGAGAGCCAGAGCATGAGTGGGGGAGGGGCAGAGAGAGAGGGAGACACAGAATCCAAAGCAGGCTCCAGGCTCTGAGTTGTCAGCACAGAGCCCAATGCAGGGCTCGAACTCACCAACCGTGAGATCATGACCCTAAGTGAAGTCAGATGCTCAACCGACTCGGTCACCCAGGTGCCCCAAGCCAAATCTACTTTAAAAGCCCCACCAGCTCACACCAATTCCCATGCCTCAACCCCTAACCCCACACTGATGACCTCTTCTTTTCATCTGTTTTCCTGATTTACTCACTTCAACCTACACAGTAATGCCAGGCACTGTTACTTAACTATCTCGTGCAGTGTCGTCTCCTCTTGGTAACTACAGAACAGTCATGAAAGGAATCACATCCACTCTTATAGTCAGGTTGGACTCCAGGCTCGACTCAGATAATCTACCTGCCTCGTGTCTGGGCTTCCCAGGTGGCTTCAAGGATTTAAACTTGGCAGCACTGTGGTTTAACATAATAAGACGTTGAGTATCAAATTTTAAACATTAAAAATACTACGTTACTCTTCTCTTCCCTGTTATCTAAATCTGCTTAACTTACAGCAAAATAATAACGAACACAAGAAATGGTGTGTTTACAGCACAGTCAGGCCCCCCTTTATTATGTTACTCGGCCATCTGTGACCCTTCATTAGAGGCATTTGGGACTCTAGCTCTGAATCACTCTGCTGAATGACAATGGCAATGCAAAACAGTCCTGGGGCTTTAAGAGCCTAGCTGCTCATTTGTATCTGGTCCATATTTCTGTAACAGTAAACAATGGTCAAGTTCTGCCTACATGATAAACTTCCTAGTAGAAAACGTGATGAGATGCAGCTGTTAAAGAAAAATAATGTTGCTGTGATTACCTGTACACACACCCAAAATACGTGAAGTCGGATCATCTAAATATTAACAGAGTCGCCTAAAACACCATCGGATTCTACATTTAGAGGAAAACCTGCTAATGTCACTTATCTCTTTTCAGGCTGTACCACATCGGTGTCATAACAAGCATTGATTGCTTTCTGGTTAAGAGAGAAAGAGATTCCATTTTATTTTGTAATTGAATGGCAACTGAGGAATCACATGCAGGCTTGGGCAAGGCCGGGGACCCACGGGGCTGCCCCTCACTACCACCCAGAGCATGCCCCTGGTCCCTCTGCATTCCCATCCAGAAAAAAATTTTGTTTGCCCAAATTCTTGCCTAATTGGAATGCCTTGCGGTCTTCTTTGAGGCGGAGTTCTGCCACCTGAGTCCGATGGGAAACACAAATGTGCTCCCTGGAACTTATCTCCATGCTTGCACAGCTCACAAATTTAAAATCCCACCTGTCTGAAGGGCAGACCACAACAGAATCGCAGAGGTAACACAGTCCCCACCCGTGCGTAATTCTTCATGTACCATAACCATGGAGGCCAATACTCAACACGCTTCTATTTGGAAAATCAAATTAATTAAGCCATTCCTTCCTGGTCATATTCGCCAGTGTGTCGAGATGGGGGTTGATGGTTCAACCTCCCTTTTCCCCACAGGCGGCTGGAATCGAGCCCCTGGACTGGCACGGGCTGGTGGTCCCGTCTAACTCGGAGATGGGTGACCATCCTCCACCTTGCTGGGGAGCTGGAAAAGCGGGCCTCCTGGCCGGGAGGCCGGCCGTCCCCGTTAAGGTTTGCCAGAAGACCGAGACCAGAGAGAAGGCGGATGGATGCTAACGCCCGAACCCAAATTCTCACATCCCACATCGCATCACTGAGGCAACTCTCGCAAATCGCGCGAAATGCATCCGTAACCGAAGCTCCGCAGAAGCCCCCCCCCACCCCCCACCCCCGAATTAGGGCCGGCTGAGCCCCGGCCCGCGAGGCCCTCCCGCGGCTGCGAGCAGGGGCGCGGGCGCCGGCCGGCGGCAGGTGCCCCGCGCCGCGCGCTCACCCAGGGCCCAGGTGCAGCTCTCTTTGATGGCTTTGTACTTGCTCCCGGACGCTTCCTTCTGCAGCTTCCTCAGGATCTCTTCCATCTTGACCTTCGTAGGGGCCCGGCCGCCGACAGCTGGAGGAGCGCGCGCCAGGCCCGGCCAGGGACGCCGCCGCCACCGCCTGGCCCCCCGGCGCCCCGGCGGCCGCTGCGCTCGCCCCCCTGCGGCCCGGCGCGGCGCTGATGAATCACGGCCGCCCCGCGCCGCGGGCCACGTCAGCCCCGCCGCCCCGCCCCGCCCGCCGCCGCCGCCCCGCCCGCCGGGTCAGGTGCGCTCGCGCGCGGCGGCCCGCGGGAGGCCGGGGGCTGGGAGCCGGGGGCCGGGGGCCGGGGGCCGGGGGTTGGGGGCCGGGGGTTGGGGGCTGGGGGCTGCTGCTGCCCCGCACGCCCGGTCAGGTGCGCTCGCGCGCGGCGGCCGGCGGCCGGCTGGGGGCTGGGGGCTGGGGGCCGGGGGCTGGGGGCCCGGGGCTGGAGGCCGGGGGCAGGGGGCCGGGGGCCGGGGGCTGGAGGCCGGGGGCCGGGGGCTGGAGGCCGGGCGCGGCCCCGAGGCTTCGCGGGAAGGTGGAGGCGGATGTCCGGAGCTGGCTGGCCGGCCGGGCGTGGGCCGGGCGCGGCCCGAGGGAGCGTCTGATCGGCGGCGGGCGGCGGGCAGCGGGCGGGGGCCTCGCCGCGATCACCCCGACCCCGACGTTCGATCCCCCTCCCCAGCCCCCAGCCACTGGGCCGCGGAGGAAGGGGTGGGGGCGGCCCAGGCCGGCGCTGTGTGGCGCCGCACCCTAGCGTCCCGTGGTCCCGCGCTCTCCAGTGAACAGCGCCTCTGGGCCACTCTCTGTGACGGGCTCGGGCGCTACCTGTGAATAGACTCTGACTCTGCCCCACCTTCTACCAACACTACCCTGTGGAGGGGGCCGGGGAGAGAGGGTTAATATCCCCATTATACACACCAGGACACCAGGCCCGGAGAGGCTCGCTTACTTCCCCAGCCTCCAAGAGTTAGCCTCAAACACATTTTTGTATCCAAACCCCTTTTTTAAAATGTCTCCATTACCCACCCCCTCGGCTTTCCCTTCCTCTCTTGCATTAAATTGTTATTCTCTATTGGAAAAAAAAAAGTGAGGGGGCGCACAGGGAACTAAACAGCTATCCAACTTCGGTGGGGGTGGGAGAGGGTGGACAGAAAGAGCGTCCCCACTGAAGAACCCCCAGGCTGAACTTGGGAAACAGACTGGGTGGCCTTCCACTGGATGTGGAAGGAAAGCAGCATCGGCCAGGGCCTCAGATCCCGAGAGAGCGCGCTGTGGTTCAGCAACTTCACGTCCTTCACTCTGGAGGCCCCTGGAAGGGTTGCTGAACGAAAGGGGGAGAAAGGAAAGAAGGAAACTCATTTAGCATCTCATTGTTTCCCTGTTGTGAAAACGGTGACTAGGAACTAAGAAGGGATTTTAAGCATATTCGTTTGTCTTTAGAAATGTAACTGGAGTGGTAGTGAAAAAAAAAATTGCAAAGGGAGTAACTGGCAGCCGGGAGAACAGTAATCTAGAAATAAGCCAATAGTAGGTGGAAAGAATAGAGGAAAATATAGCAAGAGATATTTAAGGAGTTGAAACAGTACGTTTACTGACAGATTGAGGTGGTTAGCATCTGGGATGACTTTCAGGTTTCTCCTCTGGGGAAATGGGAGGGTGGTGGCCTCATCTTCCAAGTTAAAGAAGAGAAGAGGGTTTGGCTCCGTTTTGAACCTACTCAGGTTGAAAACGATAATGAGATACCCACAGGGTGTTTCATTTATGGGCAGGAACTCAGGACAGTGTTGCCCAGTAGAGATGAGGATTTGAAAGGCTTCAAGTTGGAGAATGGTTGATGCCTGGGGTTTGGCAAAGGTTTCAGGAGGCAGTGGGTGGAATGGGAAGCTCAGGATGCCAGGAAGGAAGTTGCGGTCCCCTTACTTTTTAAAACTTATTCTCTTTATGATTAAAAACAAATTTACTTATGCTACAAACTAGAAAAAGAATAGTAATTTCAGAATACAAAGTTTAAAGAGCTTTGTAAAAAAGCTTTTACAGAGTATTAAAAAACAGATGCCCTTGTACACTCTAAAAAAAATAGGCAGTGATTGTGAAGTCAGTCCAAAAGAAATGCAAACAAGGCATAACCTATGAAAAGTGTCCAAGCACCTACTGATCAAAAAAGCACAAACATTTAAATAAAATGTGATTTTTAAAAATCCACTAAACTGGCTAAGAGACTGTAAATGCTATTGCCAGGATTAGTAAGGAGCTAGCCAACTGGATCCTCTCACATTATGGATGCTGGTGGAAGGGTAATCCTGGAGGGATTTTGGATGGGTACACAGCATAGAAATGGCTACAGTCCAGCAATCCTATTTTTAGGAATTCATCGGAAGTGAGTGATTATAGAAGTGGGTAAATATTTCCTGACAAGGATTTCAATGTGATGTTCAATCATTTTTTTTTAAAAAAATTGAAAACTGTCTACATGTCCAACATTAGAGAAATGGATAAGTAATCCATGATGTATGTAGCCATAAAGCAGCAAGAAATATAGCCTTTAAGAATAACGTGGGAGCAGAATATTGAATGACATGAAAAGTGGTTGCTACTACATAGCTAAGTGAAATAAGAAGGTCATAAAATGCTACGTACATCCGTGCAATAAATGACCTCAATTTTGTTATTTAAAAATTTGATGTGGATGATATACATACAAGTTTTTAAAAATACACATACAGGAAAATACACACTTTTTCTTTTTAAAATTGCAATGTGTTATTTTTTTACATGGTAGAAAAAAATAAAAGTAGTATACAGTCAATGGCTACAGAGTGGACAGAGATAAATACAGAAAAGGATCAAATGGATGTGAGGGTTAGTTAGGAAAGCTGCCCAAGAAGAAGAATGAGGGCGGAGCCTGGCTGCAGTAGATTAAGAATAGAGAGAAACATAGGTATAAACAATGCTCTCAAAATGTTGGCTGTGAAGGAAAGTTAAGAGTAGAATAGTCAAAACACTGTTTGAAAACATCAGGTCCGTAAAAAATACCCTTTGCATCACCACCCACTGTAGGCAGAGATACAAGTATAGGTAGATTAAAAAGCTGAAACAAAAAAAAAATTTTTCTTTAAGTCACGTCCATACCAATGTGGGGCTGGAACTCACAACCTGGAGATCGATGTCCCCTGCTCTACTGACTGAGCCAGCCAGGTGTCCCTGAAACAAAATGTTTATTTAGAAAAGAATACTTACTATTAAGTAGAATAGAGTTACTATTAAATAGGATTTGATTCATTGTTGCAGGCACGCTTGCCTGTTCTTAAATTCATTCCAGGCTGAAGACAGGAGTATAATGCTATATGCACAGCCCAGGTGCTTTAGGCTTGGATGGCTATTCCTTCCCTCTATTCTCCATTATTTTGGTTAAAAATTCTAATTCACACAAATAAGTTGCCATGCATGCTCTCAACATACTCAGCAACTGAAATTACAAATTTTAGCAGGTTCTTCTTTAATCTTCATCTAAAATGGTGATAAATTTATAATCATTCTTCAGCATATTTGAATCACAAAGCATTGGTAAGTAGTTTTCTTCCTTGGGTACCAACGTTAACACAAATATGGATTCAGGATTTTGAAAAACAAATGGATCTTTTCTTTAAATGCTTTTGCATGGTATTTCAATGTTCTTTATTGGAAATGTTTGAAGTTTGAAACAGAGACTTGTCATATCATTAATATATTTAATTTTTTTTCCCATTCAGGATAACTTTACTAATGATGCTCTCTTCCTGTGCTGCAAAATGTGGAGAACATAGAGTAACCATGGTGATTACTTAAAATGTATTTTGTAACTGTTGGATATATTCGGCATCTCGAAATACAGTGTTACTTTTTTCCTGTAGGCCAAATCCAGTTATTAAAAAATGTTTTTATGTGTGCCAATTTTGTTGCTAAAATACCACCTCCAAAAATGTTAGCCAAATGAGATAGCTTTTAAACAGAACAATGTGAATCCCATTCCTGAGTTCATGTAACTTAGTTAATATTTTCCTCAAAAAAAACAATCATGCCAGGATGATAAAACATATACATGTATCAGTTAATGGAAAGGCTAAGGTAATTTAATGACAACCCAACAAGAGAGTGGTTTACAGAACCTAGGTCGACTTTTAGTTATCGTTTAAGCTACGTCCTGAGTAACGGTGCAGATTAGGGTATAGCTGTTCCGGGAGATCAGTTGAGGACCACGTACCCTACATCTTCCTGCTCTGCCATCTTGGAAGGAATTGTTCTCCCACAGTGGGTCCTAGGCAGGTGGCATTCTAGCTAGGGAGTATATGAGTCCAGGCCTCAGATAGCTAGAAGTGATAGAAGTCACACAGATTCCTTCTCCCATATTCCATTGGTGAAGACAGCTGCAGAGAGACATTTGGATACAATGTAGTTTATCTGGGCCCTTCAGGGCCACACTGCAGATCTCTTCCCAAGGCAGCAGGAGAAGGATTTGGTGGATGACCTCCATATCAGTTACAGTTCGGATTTGAACAAAGCGTATCAAAGAGTAAAAGTTCTCTTAATGAAGTTAAACAATTAGCACTACATTTTGTTTTCAAGAGATTCAGTAGGGATTCAGTAGAAGTCTTATGATGCCAAAGGTAAGAACAGTCTGTGAACAGTGCATCCAAATAGCTGTGTAGATGGTAATTACTAATAACATTTTAAATTATCTGCTATGTTTCCTGGTCATGTTTATTTCTGAATCCCTTGCAATTCTATTATAATTTACCAGTTTAATTTAGATTTTTCAAACAGTATTTTCCAAATTCTATCAAGTTACTCACACCAGTTACATGTTAGCTTAAAGAACACAATTAATCCTTCATAAAAATTGTCATATATATATATTTGACATAAACTGAATGTACAATAACCTGAAATATTAGTGTTCCCATTAAGTAGAATCATACAAACGGTGTCTGCTCATACCTAATAAGAATTAATTCTATTCTGTATATTCTATGGACCTACA